CACCCCCATATTTTCTGCACTCAGCCAATAATTTCACAGTCCTGCACCCTCACTTTCACCTCCCCTCCCCTGCCCCCCTGTTTCTCCCAAATGTCTGCAGGTTTTTCGCCACTAAAGAGCGCCTTACTGGTCCTGGAGAGTTTCGCGTTGTCTCCTACAACCTGCTGGCCTTTATGTACAGCTGCAGTGAGACGGGGAGGACGTTCTTCTTCAAACACTGCCCGCCCAAGTACCTCGAGCCGGACTACCGTTTTCCGCTGCTCTACCGCGAGCTGCTCGCCTACAATGCTGATGTACTCTGTTTGCAGGAGGTTGATACAAGGAACTATAAAAAGTTGTTGAAACCACTGCTTGGAGAGGCAGCTGGCTATGAGAGCATTCATCTGCCCAAACTTCTCACCGAACCCCCCACAGACCCAAAGGCACCTCCTCCGAAGGAGTTCCCTCGAAAAGTGAGTGTTCTAGGGTGACCTGAGCGGCCCCAGCTCTCGTCCTTAACGCGCACAGGAGAAGGTCGGGTTTGTGGCCCACGTTGAAGTTGCATCTCTGGTGATTTGTCTACAGTGTGGGACCAACCCGATTCAAGCTCTTGACATGAATGAAAGACTGATGATTACTCGCAAACTGGCATTAATGCATGCACGGAAGTAATAATGAACAAACTTAAACGAATTTAAAACTTAAAGGAAATATAATAAGTACTATTAGTTTGTTTAGGACTACCAGCTTTTTGCAAAGAAGCCCCAAATTCCGAACATGTGAAAAATCGCTGTAACTGTGACCAATAAATGTACAGTACGGCCTAGTATTCGTGTAACATGCCGACGTATGTCAAAGATCGGCATCGATTAAGGCTGTAACACTGATTATCGTGTAGTCTATTCTGAAGTCATTTCAGCCACGTTAGGATGCCGGCTTTTTAATGAGCCTGTTTCTGACCGCTTACAAAGCGTGTGTACTGTAAAAGTGACCAGTTAATTAGCATACATTTTTATCATTGATTTTGACTGCCTTTAGAAATTTAAATATATTTTATGGA